TGGTTGAGAAAGGAGCTATGGAAATCACTGATGCAATTTTCTCAGGCCCATACAGAAACTAAACCTTGGGCTGTTGTGGGGGACTTCAACTGTAGTCTCTATTCACATGAAAAGCTCGGTGGATTGCCCTTATCAGTAACTGCCAGCTGGGACTTTCAACAATGTATTACAAACTGTGCCTTACTGGAAGTTTCTACCTATGGTAACTCCTTTACTTGGTGGAATGGTAGAAGAGGTACTCATTCTATTTGGAAACGCTTGGACAGGCTGTTGGTGAATCAAGCATGGGCAGACAGTTTTAAAACTACTGTTCAAGTACTATCTTTAACTACTTCTGATCACTCTCCCCTTCAAATCTCTGTTACTTGTGATACTCAAACTAAAAGCCCTAGACAGTTTTCTTTTCTTCATGCATGGACAACTCACCCTAATTTTATTCGTGTTGTTCAAAAAGCCTGGTCTATGGAGGGCTCTGGTCCACCCATGACCCAATTCTCTACCAAACTACTTGCTACCAGAAAAGCTTTGAACATTTGGAATAAAGAGGTCTTTGGAAACATTTTCACTAAACTTGAGGCTTTGGATAAAAAAGTCCAGGAAGCTGAGGAAACATCAGATTGCACCTACTGATGAGAACTTGATGCATTTCAAATCTGTGGATGCTCAATATCTACACCAACTTCACTTGGAAGAACTGTTTTGGAAGCAAAAAGCTCATGTATAGTGGGTTGTGGATGGGGACAGAAATTCTAAATATTTTCATGCCTTAGTGAATGCCAGAAGAAGGAAACGGTATATTCATAAAATCAAAGGCCTAGATGGTAATTGGATTGAGGATCATCAACAAATTTCTACTCAAGCTATTGAGTTCTTCCACCAACTGTTTTCTGAGGAACAAAGGGGGGAGATTGATTACAGCCCTCTCTCACATATTAATCCTTTGGTCTCTGCAAGTGATAATGTACAGTTGGTTGCCACTCCTACTATGTATGAAGTTAAACAAGCAGTTTTTTCTCTTAATCCTAACAGTGCTGCAGGTCCCGATGGTTTTACTGGTTTGTTTTATCAAAAATGCTGGGATATTATACACTTAGATGTGTACTCTATGGTTTGTGCTTTCTTTGCTGGCGACTATATGACTAAGAGCATTGCACATACAGCCATTATACTACTGCCCAAGGTTGAGAGCCCCAATACTTTTGCTGATTTTAGACCTATAAGTCTGTGCAACTTCAGAAGCAAGATTATTTCTAAAGTGCTAGCTTTAAGATTGGCTGGTGTTCTTCCTCATATCATCTCCCCTTCTCAATCTGGTTTCATCCAAGGGAGGTCTATAACTAAAAATATTTTGCTAACTCAAGAACTCTGTCATGGTATGCAACTACAACACAGGGATATTGTTTTGAAACTTGATATGGCTAAGGCTTATGACAGAGTTTCTTGGGCCTTTCTCAACAAAATCCAGAGACAAATGGGTTTTTGTGAACAATGGATTGACATGGTGTTCAGAATGGTCTCCAACATATGGTATACTATTCTTGTCAATGGCGAAAGGGAAGGTTTCTTCACCTCCTCTAGGGGATTGAGGCAGGGTGATCCTTTATCTCCAGGTCTATTTATTATAGCAGCTGAATTTCTCTCCCACCTTCTCACACGCAGAAGTCATAGTAAAGGAATTATCCCATTTACTCAACCTAGAGGCATCCAAACTATTAGTCATCTAGCTTTTGCTGATGATATGATAATTTTCACCTCAGGAAGAAGGAACTCTATCCTCAAAATTGTGGAGGATCTGCATCTCTATGAGCATATTTCGGGCCAATTGGTGAGCACACAAAAAAGTTCCTTTTATATGCATCCTGGGAGCGCTACTGTCACCACTCAAAGAGTGGCTGATCTCATTTCAGTTAAACACCAACCTTTCCCATTCTATTATTTGGGATGTCCAATATATAAAGGCAGGCTAAAAGTGTGCTATTTTAACACACTATTGTGGTAGGGGAGATTATTATCCTATGGTGGTAAACAAGTCCTCATTAAGAGTGTGCTGCAAGCTCTTCCTTCCCATCTCTACTCGACTATTCAACCTCCCAAAACAATTTTGAGTAAAATTGAGCAGAGCTTTTCTAACTTCTTTTGGGGCCAATCTGCTGGGAAAAAGCACTACCATTGGAGCTCATGGGAGCATATGAGCTTTCCTGTTAAAGAAGGAGGTTTGGGCTTTACAAAAATGCAGACCATGGTGGATGCTTGCAGTGCCAAGTTGTGGTGGAATTTTAGAACCGCTGTCACCTTATGGACTCAATTCATGAAAGCCAAATATTGTCAAAGAGTTCACCCTGTTGCTAAGGTGTGGCAACATGGTGAGTCCCACATATGGAAGAGGATGGTCTTCATTCGAAACCTTATTGAACCTTACATATTTTGGAAGATATATGATGGATCCTTGAGCTTCTGGTGGGATAACTGGACAGGTCTTGGAGCTTTAGCTCGTATTACCAACCAGGAGAATGGGAGATTTCTTCTTGCTCCTTTCAAAGAGTATGTGGTGAATAATACTTTAAACTTTGGTCGACTACAAAACCTCATGGATCCAGGTTTCTTTTTCCACTTTAATGTGGATCTGTCAGGGTTGGGGACTAACAAATCTGATAAAGCCATTTGGAAGCCTAGGTCTAATGGCCTCTTTACACTCAAGGCTGCTAAACATTTCTTGGGGTGCAATGGTCAGACTTCCGTACAACTTCAGAAATGTTGGAATACTCGTATTCCTTTCAAGATGTCCTTTTTGTGTTGGAGAGTTTTGCTCAGGAAACTACCTCTGAACTCCATTCTATTAAAGTTTGGTTATAATTTGCCTTCAAAATGCTTATGTTGTGATACTCCCTCTCTTGAAACTACTGAGCATGTTTTTTCACAAAGCAATATAGCTCAATATGTATGGCAATATATCTATGATATATTTGGAATGAATAACATGGCAGCCTCTGTTACTCAACATTTAGACACTTGGTGGGGCCCAAAAATACTCTCTAAGAGACCTACGGTCAGGGCTTATTTGCAGCACTGTATTCCAGTGTTTATACTTTGGGAACTGTGGGTTCACTATGCAGCTTTAAAGTATGGGGAGGGGCAAATTAATGTGGCTCGTGTTATTTTCAAAGTGAGGAAGGGTGCAACAGAGGTGGTTTGTAGGAAATGGCCCTCACTTTTCACTTCCTTTACTGACTGGAAAGCTATTTTTCAACTTAAAGATGTTTTACCCAAACATTTCCATTTTAAAAAAGTCTCTTGGGACCCCCACCCGTGCACACTATCAAACTTAATGTGGCATATTTGCAATCAAACTATAGAAGTGGGGCAGCAGCTGTGATTAGGGATTCTACAGGGACTTTTCTATTTGCACAAAGCATCAGGGGCATGTTCACTAAAATGGAGGCAGCACTTGAGATATTAATTGCTATTATTCCTTGGTGTTTAAATGCTGGTTTACACAGAATTCAATTTGAGGCAGACTTTGAGGAACTGGTGCAGCTTCTTAACCTTGCTGTTCCTCTAATTGCTATGAACAACTTCAGGTTGGCTTTTCTGTTATCTTGTTGTACTTATACAGCACATATCTGTGAGCATGAGGCTAATAGGGTCACAAACTATTTAGTTAAGTTGTGCAATAATCAACTCCATCCAAGTTGGGAGTTCTGTGATATTTTTGATTTACCTACCTACCGTCAAGTGCTATGCCAACATGATATTCAACGCATTCCTAGCTTTGCTGCTTCTACTTTGACTTGATTATGCAGTCCTATCTTTCTGCGGATATGGAGAACTTGGATATTGGGTGCGCTCAATTTCCTTTTCCTATCAGCTAGGGGATAGTGTTTGCTTTCTGTTACGAGGTTTTTTAAACCATTACTGGTTCTACTGGGGCTAAGGAGAAGTTGGATATTATAGGTGCGCTTATAATATCTTTTCCTAGTCTTGGTATGTATGGTTTGTGAAGTGAGGAGTGGTTGACTCGGATGGGTTTGTATTCCTCCCTTTGGAGATGATTACCACTCCTCTTGTGTTGTCATTCTTCTTTCTCATGACCTTTTAATGACACATTACCATGGTGCACTTCTTATCTTGTGACATTGGTAATGCTTTGGTTTCGGTTGTTTGTATGTTTGTTTTGACCGTATGTGGCATTGGTCATGCCGTAGTTTTGGTTTCGTATGTTTAGACCTTATTGTGGCTTTGGTCAAGCCCTAGATTAGTATGTTGGTAGTTAGGACTTTCTTGTGGCTTTGATAAAAAAAAGTTGTTTTTACCAAAAAAAAACAAGCATTTGGCAATAATTAAATGTGCAAACATCAATTGCAATAATTAAATGTGCGATATGAATAATATGTACCCCATAACTTGTAAATATGCGAATGACTGATGTACAAAAAACGTCATAGATTGAGATGTATAATATTGGTATTCCCATATGTGTAGTTGTGAAAAGTGTGCCTACATTACATACCGCAAAGATATACACTATGTTTGGTTCAAGGAATTTGAGAGAGAAAAGAAAAGAAAATGAGAAGGAAGATATTTTTTCTTGTTTGGTTAGAAAGGAAAAAAAAAGAAAAGTGGAATGAAAAGAAAAATAGAAGGCAAGATGTACTAAGGGGAAGGAAAACCAAATTTCTCCCATTTTAGTGAGAAAAATGAGGGAAAACCATTTTCTTTTCTTTTCCTACCAAATTCCTTGAACCAAACATAGTGATAGTGTTCTTCGTTTTCATTTTGGTCTTAGCATTTTTGTTATATTGTATGGCATGTTAGTTGTTTTTTCCCTCCTTTAAAATGTTTTCCAAAAACCCTTCAAAACTATTTTTGAGTCAGTTGCAAAATAACATTGTCACTGTGAGAACTATTCGAAAAGTTCTGATATTATTCGAATAGTTGTGGACTTTCTTTTTTGATTCACAGTGAACTATTTGAATAACCTTTGTTTTACTCGAATAAGTCAGAGTTCTTAACTCTGCCCTATTCGAATAATTAGCAAATTATGCGAATAAGTCCTGAAGCTCATTTCTTCAATCCTACAGTGGCTTAGGGTCCGTTCCGTAGGATTTATTTTTTCTACTTATTACTTATTCTTATTAAAATTAGATCAGATCAGACCTAATCAGATCAGATCAGATCCAATCAGATCAGATCAGACTCAATCAGATCAGATCAGAACCAATCAAATCAGACCAGATTCAATCAGATCAGACCAGATCAAATCCAATAATATCAAATCAAGAAAAAAATCTAAAAGATAATATTTATATTTTCAAGGATTAAATAATAATTACTATTATTTGATTAAATCACATTACTTTATTTAAAACTACACACACCTAAATCTTAATTAATATTATAATTTTAAATATTATTCTTGTAATATTCTTGTAATATTATTATTTTTATTATTATTATTATTATTATTATTATTATTATTATTATTATTATTATTATTATTATTATTATTATTATTATTATTATTATTATTATTATTATATTTCAACTACAAACCATTATTTTATATACTCCGGGTAATTGTTTAGCTTGTAGGATAGAAATGATGCATGGAAGCAATGTCAAAGCTTAAAAAATTTATTTTTCATACTTTAAAAAACGTTATTTTAAAATACTTGTTTATAAAATAATTATACAAAACTTAATTTTCAAAACTATAAATATTTTATACTTAAAAAGACTTACTTTTAAACTTTAAGATGGTATAGTATATACTCAAAGATGAGTTTATGACAAAATTGATAGAGGTGAAAGCGATAATAGTGTTTAAAAAAGTTTAAACATATTAATGATTAGCTAGTTTTCTTATTTTACTTTTTTTATGTATATATGAATTGTAATATTTTAAAACTATTACATTTTGTAATAATTTTAAGTTTAATTTAAATCAGATTTAAATTCATTTACACCGGATCTAATTAATTAGAGAAAATCAGATCTAATCAGATCAGATTAGACCTAATCAGATCAGATTAGACCCAATAAGATCAGATCAGATCCAATCAGATCAGATCAGACCCAATCAGATCAGATCAGATCAAAACTTCAAAAATTCAGATCAGATTCAATCAGATCAGGCGTACGTTACAGAGCCTTAGTCGAATAAGTCTTCACTTAGTTGAATAAGTCTGAGTTTGTTCGAATAAATCGTCAGTTTGAACTGCAGATTTGTTAGTTTTTAAGGAAGTTGTGTAGGTAAATTTTAGTAGTGGTTCCTCAACTTTCATTGGAATTTCGAAGTGGTACCTAAACTTCAAATCCTTTCAAAAAAATTCCTAAACTTACATAATCCTTTCACTAAAAGTCCATTTACCCGTATCCGGGTAAACTTACGGTCATTTGGGCTAAAGTTAGAATCCTTTAATATAATACTAGTATTTAACCCGTGCAACGCACGGGGTCAAATGCATGTTATTTTTAACTCCGTTGAATTTTTGGTTTTAGTAAATGGACAAAAAAATATAGTTAAATATAGTATACAATGTTAGAAGCATAATGAATGATATGATATAAACAAAGTATGCTAACTAAAATTCATATATATATATATATATATATATATATATATATATATATATATATATATATATATATATATATATATATATATATATATATATATATATATATATATATATATATGCATAAATTGAGAAGAACGTATAAATATATTAATTAAATCCAAAATTTTTTGAAAAGCTTTAGGGTAAACTATATTTTTTGTGCAATTGCAAGGGTCATCGTTGTCATCTAAAACTAACTCTTTCAATTCTTTTTTAGTTTTCACTCGTGAAACTGCAACATAAAGTTCACCATTAGAGAATGCCGATTTAGTCAAGAATAATCCAACAAAAGATAATGTTTGGACTTAACTCTTATTGATCCTCATGCCAAAACATAAAGATATTAGAAATTGTCTTTTTTGAAACTTAAATGGTAATTCAGGATCGGCACCAAATTCATTCTTAGTATGTAAACTTTCTCAATTGCATTATTTCCGGATACAAAAATTACACCGATAACGTTTATTCGCAACTCTTCAACTATTAACCTTGTAACACTACACAACCCAGATGTTTGATCAATGTTTCTTAATAACATAATTGGAATCTCCGAACACTTAAATCTATGCCTACATTTGAATCTGTTTGACATGAAAAATCAGAGCTCAAATACTTTTTTTCATCTCTAGGAATAAGAGACAAAACAAAATCATTGATCATTTCCACAACTTCAAGCGTGAGTGCTAATAGAGCTTTATCCATAAAAAACGTATAATCTTTCATATTTTCCAATAAGTTTGGATATGTGAATTCCACTATACTCTATAGTGGAGAACTTGAGTTCAGGATCAAGGATTCAAGTGGAATTTCAATTTCACCAATTCCATCATTAACCACGTCAAGCTGTCCATCTCCAATCTTGATTATCCACTCAGAAAAAAGTTGTGTGTCACTATCTGCATGGTTGGATAAAGACAAATGTAATCTCATATTTTTAGTCAATGTAAATACTTTACAATACGACCACAAAGTCGATGAATTCACGATACCTTTAACAATTTCTTTTATTGAAGCTTTTGGTGTAACCGGAAGTATTTGACGAAAGTCACCCCGAGCACAACCGTTTTCCCACCGAAAGGTTCATTTTTAGCATTTTTATTAGAGAATTGCATAAATAAAAGAGAATTTTCTTAAAAGTTTGTTATATATATTTGGTGTATTATTTGTTATTCTCTTAGTTGATTAAATATTACGGAGTATTAATTTTTATTTGGTAGAAGGCAAATTGTTTGACATTTTATTAAAAAATTTAAAATACAATAATTTTTTAGTATATAGTATCTCGGTTAATATTTTATATTTTTTTATTAAAAACTATTCTGTAATATTATACTCAAAACGTATAACTTTGCTTTCTTAATTATTATACATTTACGTTGCGAAAACATGTAACACTTTATTCTTACTTTTTATTGACTAACTTTTCCTTTTTTTCAAATATTTTTACAAATAAGTAAATAAAGAGAGTCCACCTTATCTAATGGTAGGGAGCTATAAAGCTCATCAACATCATCAAAATCTTCAAAGTCCTCCAAGAAACAGAACATAATGTGAATGCCCAAAAACATATCACATAATGCATATGCGATGAAATATTTCAACCAAAACCACATGTGTATTATGTATTTAGTGTTGTTATGTGTGGGTAATTAAAACAATAAAAACAAACTCTAAAGTCTACAAAATATCTATATTAATTTTGAGGTAAAATTTCCATGATTAGAAGATTTTAAGAATTCAATAGTAGTATTTGATCTCTTTAAATGACATGAGTTTATTTGGGGGAGGGGGGTTATATTGAAAAAAGCAAACCTGATTGCGCTCCACATAGCATCCAGAAAATCTTTAACATCATTGACTTGCTCTGGGCTCAACTCATCATTATCCAGTAACCTCAAGATCAATTCTAACTTCATTATATGAGCCTTGTGTCGAACAATGGATGCTTCCAAATGAACTTGTGAAAAGATCTCACATGAACACCAAAAGAGTCAAACCACTCATAATGTCATCAGTATTAAGATGTTCCCTTTCTTTACCAATCTTGGGGGCCTTGTTTTCCCTTTTTAACAGTTAGTCTTTTCAGTTCTGCCTCAAAAATATCAATTTGATTTTCCAGCTCGCCGACCTAGGCATAAAAAGGGACAAACATCTTTAATCAATTGCTTGGAAGGTTATTTGGCAAGACAACAAATACTCATTCCGTCCCAAAAAGAGGATCCACATTTGTTATTTTGTTTGTCCCAAAATAAGGTTCCACTTTCTTTTCAAATAAATGGACTTGTGGTTTACATTATTTCTGTCTCTCCTGCATAGGTTTCAATCACTCAATATTACATTTCTTAAAAGTTGTGCCCAGTCAAATATGGAATTTTAATTCGGGACGGAGGGAGAAAGTAACCACACAACAACGAAAAAGAAAATATATTAAATATATAATGAAAACATGGCATGCTCACTGGATTATCCAATTCAGTTTTTCTTATAGATAATAAGGAGCTGCTGAAAGATTACCAAATTACCAATGTAGCAATGCGTATGAAATTTACTATGCCTGAACTAAAACCTTGTTTGAGTTCCATTGGAAAAGCATAAAAGTAAGGATTTAAAGGCAATTGAAGTTACACTAGTGTACCACCGTTAAGTACCAAGTAGACAGTGTAGAGACAGTATTGTAACTGAATAGAATGTGGGCTAATAATTAGGCCCATACCACATTTTTCAACCAATCTCTTGTCTCTAATTTAGCCTTTTGCTTTGGATCCTAACAAAAAGAGAGAAAAAGCAATTTTCAAATTACTGTAGTCTTAACAACCGGGAAGATTCAATGTTAACATCCAACTATTAAAATGATTAACCCATTAAAATTCATTAATTCGGACTGCAACATCTGAAATTGAACCCTAAAACTTTGCTATTGCACAAAAGAAATGAAAAATGAAAGTTAAATTCCCTTATCTTTTCTTTTCCCACAAAAAATGTTTAATATGGGAAAAAACTTATGAACTGAATGAACTCTACTTTAAAAATATTCCATAAAAACAGCAGCATGTAAGTGAAAAACTTCTCCAGTAGCACATTTCCAGCACTCAGATCATCAGATTAGAGAGTCGCAAGCAATTCATTTTATAAGCATTTCAGAATGTAATCTTCAATACCGTGTTTGGCTGTTGGCCCAAGCCTTCTTTTGAAAATGCATTTCACTAATCTATGTTGAACAGAACCAAAGAAAAGTATAGTCAACACATATTCTATACTTCATACATGTTAAAAGAATAACACTCGCATGTACATTAAAAAAATCTGATTATGAGCCATCTCGAAAGCATCGCTCTATGTTTCAAACATAGAGGTCAAACTACATACATACAACCCCCTCCCCCTTGCCCCGAAATATGCAGGAGCCTTTGAGGTACAGGGCTAGTGTTGTTTTTGTTGTATATACATTAAAAAAACTATGGTGCCACGAAACCACAGAGAGCTCATACTATGTAAAGCAAAGTCTGGCCTGCATATGATACATAAAAACCATAAAATGAATTACCTACTTATTGAAGTCAAACAATCTCCCTGAATTGCAGTCAAACAATCCAGCAAAACTGGAAAAATAAAGGAAGAAGAAGAAGAGCTATCGATAACCAAGAAAGGGGGGAAATCGCTGTGGGTGATTTTAGTGTCATAGGTTTATTTTGTGTAATTGGATTTACTTTGATCGGACAAGAATTTAAATAGACGTTGTCAAACGAGTTAGGAGGCGCGGAGTGCGCGCTCGTTCAACGATATTATAAATTCATTGCGGGGGTCCGGTGGCGGCAGCCCCCGGTTAGCGGGGTCCAAGGAGCGGTAGCCCCTGGCGGGGTCCAAGGGGCAGAGCCCCTGGCCCGGGTCGGGGTCGAAGTAAGTCATGGCTTGGAAATTTTTTATTCCGGACGTTATTTCTTTATGAAAATCCTTAAGATTTTCGTGATCGGAGTCCAAATCATTAAAGGACTCGAACAATGGATAAACGTCGAAATTAAGCCTTAAACCGCAAGAGACCTTTCGTTCAAACTCGCACCTTCCTCTTCCTCGCGCGAACGTACGCGTACATCTACGCGAACGTTCATGTCTGATCACAAGAATTTTCGACTCTATAAAACAGAGTCTCGTGGTATGGGTTGAGTGAACGATTTCGAGTGCTTGTTCTGAATTAACGTCTTATCCGATTGAAGTATTTCGTATACCCCGAAATAACTTTGATCTGAAAGCGTTTCGTACGCGATTCGTTATTCTATCGAATTCTTCGTATAAACACTGCTTCGCAGTGTTATTTCTTCTCTAATTCTAACAAAGATCAAAGTTATTCCTTAAGAACTCAAAGATGACGTGTGGCGATTCCGTAAGAGATTTGAGCAGCAAGTTCTCGAAGTTAGAAAAGTTCGAAGGCCAGGACTTCAGTCGATGGCAGAAGAAGATGCACTTCCTTCTCACAACATTGAAGGTCGTGTATGTACTGAGCACGCCTATGCCGCAGATCATGGATGACGATACACTAGAACCGACGAGGAACCGGTGCAAGTGGAAGAACGATGACTACATTTGTCGAGGACATATTCTAAACGTTATGTCTGACTCTTTGTTTGATGTATATCAAAATGTTGAATCTGCAAAGTTACTGTGGGACGGTCTAGAAGAAAAGTACATGGCCTAGGATGCTTCGAGCAAGAAGTTCCTCGTCAGTAATTTTAACAATTATAAGATGGTCGACTCTCGACCGGTCATGGAACAATACAATGAACTGTTGAGGATCCTGGGCCAGTTTGCACAGCATAACATGGCAATGGATGAATCCATATCTGTGTCTAGTATTATAAACAAACTGCCTCCTTCGTGGAAAGAATGCAAACGCGAGTTAAAGCATAACAAGGAGGAAATGAATCTGGTGCAACTTGGAACCCATCCTCGGATTGAGGAGTCCATCCGAGATCAAGAGGGAAAGAAGGTGAAGGACATAGCCGGTCCATTGTCCATCAACATGGTCGAAGACGAAGGTTTCACCAAAGTAAAGAATAAGTCTAAGGGTAAAAAGCGCAAGTCCGGAAATACACCCAAACATGCAAATAAAAAGGCTAAAATGGGTTGTTGGAAGTGTGGGAAACCAGGCCACTTCAAGCAGGATTGTCGGATTGGCAAGCGGGACAAGGATACAAGTAAGAATGGTTCAGGTCAAGGAACCAAGGACCAAAACAAATCAGAAGGTCAGATTATTTCACTCATCAATGATTCGGTTAAGAATTATGTCTCAATTATATCTGATGCATTTTATGTGCAGGATGATGACATCTCTTAGTAGGTTGATTCGGGGGCAACATGTCACATGTGCAAGGATAAAAGATGGTTCAGTTCGTTGGAATCAATGGACTATGGATCAGTGTTGCGCATGGGAAACATAGCCACCGAACCTGTCAAGGGAATTGGAATAGTAAAACTTGTATTCATCACTTCCGGCAAAACTGTACTCTTAGATAATGTATTATATGTACCAGGTCTTCGTAAAAATCTTATATCGGGGATTGTATTGAATAACCATGGATATAAACAAGTATTGGAAAGTAATAAATATATTTTATCTAGACATGGTGGCTTTGTAGGTTTTGTTTATTTATGCAATGGCATGTTTAAATTAAGTTTGAATGTTCCTTTTGGCATGAATGATGTTTGTATGACGACTACATGTGATGCCTTAAACAAATCTGTTTTATGGCATGTTCGTTTAGGTCATGTGCATTATAAAAGATTACAAGATATGTCCAAAAGTAACTTAATTCCTGCCTTTGACATAAATCAAGACAAATGTAAGACATGTATAATAACCAAGATAACTAGAAAACCGTTTAAAGAAATCAAAAGGGATTCTAGTATACTTGAACTCATTCATAGTGACTTGTGCGATTTTCATGCAACTCCATCTATAGGAAATAAAAAATACATGACCACTTTTATAGATGATGCCTCTAGGTTTTGTTATGTATATCTTTTACATGCTAAGGATCAAGCATTGGAAACTTTTAGAGTATACAAAACCGAGGTAGAATTGCATAAAAATAACTTGGTTAAAACTCTTCGGACAGATAGGGGAGGAGAATATTTTGATCCGGTTTATTTCCAATCTGTTGGTATAATTCATGAGACCACAGCTCCCTATACACCACAACAAAATGGTGTAGCCGAGGGAAAGAATAGGACCTTATTAAAAGAAATGGTAAACTCTATGTTGTCTTACTCGGGTTTGAGTGAAGGATTTTGGGGAGAGGCTATGTTAACAGCATGCTATCTGTTAGATAGAGTTCCTAACAAAAGGAGCAAAATTACCCCTTATGAAATTTGGTATGGGAAGCCACCAAACTTGAATTATTTAAAAGTTTGGGGTTGTAGGGCGGTTGTAAGACTCCCAGAACCTAAGAGGAGAACCTTGGGTGAAAAAGG